GGATTTGGGTGTTACAGGAAGCTAGAAGAATTGTTTAATGGATGCAGAACCCCAAATATAAGAACAAAATTAGAAATTTTAATAAATGCATTTCAAAAATTAGCTTAAAAATACCCCAAGTTTATAAAAAAAATATTGGGTGCTCATGCACCTGTTGTAAACACTCTTGCTTCTCACCTGCTCACTCTCTAGTTGACAAGGCTAACCATCTTCCTAAATCCAAGAAGAAATCATTATTTTTGATTAATCTTAATTAAACTAATATTCTCTTTTTCTATTAAATCTTTCACATATTTTCTAATCTCTTGTTTCTTTGTGCTTTATTTCCGAGTGAAATATCCAACTCATGATCAATAAAATCTCCAAAAATATTTATACTTTCCACAAAATTGCTACCTCCTGATGTCACGTCTGATATTGTGTCTGATGCACCTTATGATCATATATCTAATGGCTCATATAATCTGCATCATCAGTCTTCCCCTCTTTAACTTAGTTTAATATTCAAGCACCAAGTTCTTTACTCACCTACAAAACCTCGCAGAGATACACACACAAAACTATGCAAAGGGTCATCCCATAAAAATCCCCCATGAATTGAGCTTCATCTACATCAGCACGCTCACCAGGATCAACATCAACTCCGCAAACACCAATATCCACCTTATCTCCCTCTGGTTGAGTGCATAACTGAGTTAAAACCTCTATAATAGACGATTTCATCAAAGTGCATCATCAATCACTCATAATTACATGTTGTTGCATACTCTGTTACATGTCTTGTCACAGCCTCTCGTACAGGACACACGTCAATCATCAACACAGATAATTTTTTTTCTTCTTCTCTATTTTTAATCAACTTACTTGTCTGTGGACAACTCAATATGCTCATCATCTCCTTATCTAACGATTCCTCCACCTACTTGAATCCCAACATCTTCCATTAATATCTCTTTCAAGGTTCTTATGTTGATACACTCATTGATTACTTCTCACAGGCACTGGGCATCCACCATAACATATTCATACACTTCTTGAACTGTCAATTGAAGGGGTACTTGCAGCATATTAGACTTCTTCATCCACCTCTTTTTGGATATCTCAGAGTTAGAAACAAATTGAGTTCTCCTCCATGTTCGATCTACAGGTTGTAAAAACCAATAACAATGTGCCATGATATGACCAAGTCTACCACAACAATAACACTTAACAGGTTGATGCCAAACTGATCTTGTAGTGCATATGTTTCTCTGAGCTGTACATGTATCAACACTCGTACCAGCACCCTTTCTTCTACACTCTGTCTATGGATGTGTGTCAACCTTCATCTTGACATTGTTTTTTGCTTCATCTAGTGTTCTGAATATGTAGAAGTTGTTGTTACCGTTCCAGCTCCTAATTCTGTTCCAAGACTTGCTTCTGATCGAGTACCTTCTTTCTTCTCTACAGATTTCTGAGATGTTTCAGTAATACATCTTTTCCTCTTTCCTGAGTTATTTCTTATGTATCATATGGCAGTGTTCTCCTTTCTTCCCACATTGCTATTCAATGCATCTTCTCACAATCAAGTTTTTTTTTTCAAGTTCTTCAACTTTGATGTGCAATCACTTCTTCTCTTGTGTTAGAGCTATGTTCTTTTTGCAGGTTTCCACAAGATCCTCATATAATTCTTGTATTACTGATTAAGGACACAGGTCTCACTTCTTGAACTTCTGGCTGAGCTGGTGTTTGTATTCGCATCTGCATCAGACGACCTTTCAGAACCAGTATCCACTTCTCTGGCTGATCCAAAAAATGCCACAAGATTAGACAAATCTTCCTCACGTGCATCAAACTTGTTGTGAGGTCTATAGTCCCTCGAAAAACCAGTTTTATTTTTCTTTTCTCGGCTGTAGGACAATGTGATTTAAAATACCCAAAACTCTCACACTCATGACATTGGATGTTATCCCTCTTCTGTTTGTGTTCAACTCTCTTTAGAACTTGTTCAACCTTCTTATCCACAAGATTCATGAGGTCTTCTATCTTTAAAGATGTTATGTTTCCTTCACTACCACTATCTGAGAAAACATCGATCCCTGGTGAGTTGTTTGATCTATTAATTGGTAAACCCAACTTATAAACTTGCAACCCTTTAGCTACCTCATCAAAAGAAAAACTTTCTGTATCAAGAGAAACTTCCATCACAGTTTTTATGACATAAAATCTCTGATGAAAACCTCTCAACAATTTCTTGACCAATTCTTATTCTTGTATGTCTTACTAAGAACATGTGCTTCATGTGCCATAAAACATATTTTACCACTAAAGCCAGCAATATCCTCACTATCATCCATCTTAAGAAGTTCAAATTCAGAAGCGAGAATATTTAACCTTGTGCTTTTGACATTTGATGTTCCTTCAAAAATATTCTGCAGAATATTCCATGTCTCTTTTGCTGAAGCACACCATTGAATCATTGCAAAATGATATTCTGAGACATCCTGAAATATTGTTGTAAGTGCAAGAGAATTGTATTTAGATATATGTTTCTCAACTTTCGACCATCCTGAATTTGGCTTTAGAGCAGCGTCTACATCAGGACCTGCATTAGCATTTGAAACAGCTTGTCTTGGTGGCTCCCACCCAAATTCGACCATGGTTCATACATCTTCATGAATTCACTTCAGCTCATGCATCTTAACTTACAATGACCATAGTTTTATGAACCCACCAACAATGCTTTTGCTGCGATAAAAACCATCGGTTGAGAAATCGACAAGGAAGAGAAAATAAGGGAGTTGTACTGAAGACTGTTTGTTTACGAGCTCGGAAGGGAAAAAATCTATAAGTTTTTTTATCGATATTCCCTCGATTTAGACAGCACCTAAATAACTGAAAGGAGTCAATAATAGAGAGTTCAGGTTTCTCTAAGAAATGTTGAATCGTATCTGGGATGATTGCTAGACTTATGGTATGTATACTGACACATTATCTAAATTTGATTATGTAGTATGTGGGATCAAGGGTGTTAGTCGAAATGTGGCGTTTTAGAAGGTTCATGACTTCTATATTTTCAAACTTCTTTTTCTTACTTAGTATTTGCTTGAGGAGTTGATATATTATGATTTTAACGTTTTCTAACTAAGTTTCAAAAGTTTTTATCAAGTCTTTTTAGTGTTTTTCGAGTCTTTACAGGTCAAAACACATTTGGATGGGATCCAGGAGGGGTCGATCGATCCGAGAGTCGAAGAAATTCCAGAGACATTTTAGACCGATCGATCAATCCGAAAGGCAAAGGATTTCTATAGAGTATTTAGATCGATCCAGGGCATAAACCAACCGGTTCGGTCACACATAAGAAAGGAAATTTCGGATTTTTCCTATTCCGGCCTGGTTTTCGAGTATTTATCAACAAAATCGTGCCTAGACCTATATATACTTGTTTTTCATCCATCGTTTAGGCTACCTCTTTTTTTACATTGATACCTTTAGCTTTTTGCAATTTGTAAGCTTGGAGAGATGATCTTTCACTCGGCATCTGAGAAAATTTCTGAACCCCTGTTGATTATTATTTATTGCATTATGAATTTCTCTTCATCTCTGTGCTTGTTCTTTATTTCCATGTCTGAGTAAATTCATATTTAGGTTTAGGATTTTCCAAAGGATTTATGAATCATTAAGCTAGACATAAATAGCGTTATCCATCTGCCGTCATCACTTATTGTTGTTCTCATTGCTTAGATTAATTTGATCACTGAATCTCTGATTTAGGGTTTAATCTATTAATAAAAGTTCTTTAGATTGTTTGATAGAACATAGGTGAGCAGATTGTTCTTAGCCAGCGAAAGCTGATGTTAAGGCTATTTTTGAAAAATTGAACCTGCTCATTAATGCTTGTTTAGAATTTTAATTTCAAACGAAAGTTTAGAATCTCAGGTTGCTAGACAAAGTCTTTGATACCACAAAAGTGGATTAACTATACATTTATCTTTGAGTTCTAGATTGTTCTATAAACTCCCCAGAATAACTGTCTGGTTCTGGATCTCTGAATTCCTGCGAATCCCTTGACATAGCATTTGTTTTAATTGATCTTTACACCATTTATTTGCTAATTTCGTTATACATTTCATTCAACAAACCATATCGTTGTCTTAGCTTAATTTCATTCCTTAATAATGATAGTGTAACCTTAGTCTCTATGGATTCGATCCCATTTATACTACTGCAAATGTTTGTGCACTTGCAGTCTTTTATTTGGGTTAAACCTGAGTGTATCATTAAATTGTGCAATTAGTAGCAAATTTGGTCTGGTTAATTCTCATTTTCGCTCATTTAGTTAAAAAAACAAAAATTTCCCGTTAGGTTTAATTTGAATTTCAAACTTCTTTTGAAGTCTACAAAAGAAGTCTTCCTAATAAGTCTACCTAGCTGGTTAAATTATTCAATTACCAACAAATTCGACCACGTTAATTCTGGTTCCCACCCATTTAGTTTTAACAAAAAAAAAAACAAATTCCCGCTAGATTTAATTTGAATTTTAGACTTTTTTTAAAGTCTACAAAAGAAGTCTTCCAAAGAAGTCTACATAGCCAGTGAAATTGTTCAATTACCAACAAATCTGGTCCGGTTCAATCAGGTTCCTACTAGGTTTTATTTGAATTTTAGACTTCGTTTGAAGTCTACACACGAAGTCTTCTTAACCCTAAACTCTTAATCAAATATTTTTGATTAAAACTTAGGGAAAATTCCATATTAATACACCAAGTTAATTTCTATTACCATTTTAATACATAAACTATTTTAGTGTCCAGAAAAATACACCAATTATTTTTCTTTTCCTATTTAATATATAAGACTTGGTCAATGTCCATTTTTTGACATGCTGTTAACAGCTAATAACAGTATAGTAAACGACGTTTAACATCTCTAAACCATGAGTTAAAACTTACTATACAACACGTTTTCAAAATCTTTTTTTAGTTTTAAAATAAATTTCTAAATACAAATTCAAACATAGATTGAGAGAAACACAATTTATTATCTCAAATAGAGGCAGAGAGTCTGGAGAAATGATGAATCGAAGCCAAAATGCAATAAAAGTCATACACAAACCAAAAGTCTACAAAATAGCAAGAGTCGTAGAATTTGAGAGTTTAAAACAAATAAAAAAAAACAAGAATACACACTACTTGCGACCTCGAGAACCTCGTATTGAAGAACCTCCTACATCTCGTGCTCGGTCTCCCCAAACTTTAAATACTCTATTACTGAATGGGCTAATGTAAACGCCATGACCTCTTGGAATTGTCTCCTTGCGAGCTTGTCCACGCCCAGGCGGATGGCCACGCCCGCGACCACGTAAAGGTGCACTAGATGAAGCTTCTGGTGCACTTGATAAAGATGGGATAGAAGGTTGTGACTGGTCTGTAGCAACAGGTGCAGGGATGGAAGATTGTGATTGAGCTGCACTCACGGGTGTCTTCCTACGTCGTTTTGGTGGATTTGGGTTACTTTGTCCTTCGACCTGAATTATAAAAAAATCAAACATAAGCATACATCAATGTTATATTGAAAACAGAATATGGTGAGAAGTTGCACTGACAGGTGTCTTCCGAGGTCTACCATGTTTGCGTTTTGAACCTTCAACCACATAAGATGCATTCTTACATGTGGTTCGATTATGTCCAACTTGTTTGCAATTACCACATATGACTGTTCTATCATCACGGGTCGTTCTGTTGGGTTTTGAAGGTGACTCATGTGCTGCTTTTATTCTCTTTTTTTAGGACGGCCTGGCATTTTTCTAAATTCAAATACTCCAATAGGTTCTTTTCCAGTTTTCTTCCAATAAATTTCTCCATTAACTTGTTTTATGTTACTCCCGTAAGTTTCTTTCCAGACCGAAGTCTTGTAATAGTAATCAACATGGCTGCAAATAGAGATCAACCAAGTAAACTCAATAAGTCATTCAAAATTATCAAAAACCAATTAATTAAAAAGTAACTTACTTATTTGGTTCTTGGTGACAATCATTGATAACACGAATTGCATGTGAACAAGGGATACCTGTGAGGTCCCACTCCCTACAAACACAATGTTTCAGTCGAAGACTGACTTCATAGCTACAACTGTACAAAACCACTTCAAACAAGTTCTCACAACTCGTTATAACTGAACAATGGTTGCAGAACAAGGCAATCCTTCTAGCTTTTCTGCATTTGAATATTCAAACTGAGACATTATACATATGCATCAACTCATCCTTAATATCTGTACTCCTTATATCAGGCCGTCTTCTTGCTTCTTCTTTGAACAGCTTTGCAATGGTCCCTTGTTTCAGCATCCTAGCTCTTCCTGTACGCAAATGATTGTGGATGTCTTCATATACCTCAACCATCCACTTATGTATTGGTCTCTCAAATGAGCAATAAATCCGCTACTTACACTTTTCCTTGGTGCAAACAGCAGCATGCTTTGTCGCCTCCCATCTATTGAGTTTCACATCATATTGTGTCTTCAAAACATACCTCAGCAATTGATCTTTGAACTCATCACTATTATTGAATGTCTGCATAAGCCACAAGTATGGAGGCTTGTCATACTCACCACGACTTCTTCCTTTCTTTCTTCTAGCTTTTTTGTCTTCCTTGTTAAAATTTTCCCACTCTTCATCAGTATCAACCGGAGAATCAGGATGCTCACCAGCTCCAAGCGGCCTCTCATCTTCACTTTCACTGTCAGATTCAACTCCATCAATTAAATTAAGTTGTGTAACCACAACATGTTCACCATGTTCAATCAAGTTTGTGAATCGAGGATCACTGGCTCCTACATCTAGAATATGTTCTTCACCCTCAGATTGAGGACCATCACCATCTGGCTTCTCTTGTTCCTCTCTGTTTACATCATCGTTAATTTCTCCATCATCACTTTCCTCCTCTCGGTTATCATCATCACTCTTAGCTTCATCATCACTGTTTTTATCTTCGCTCTTCTCTTCATCATCTACCTCATTATCCTCAACATCAGCTTCTCCATCAACATTCACGCTGAAATCTACGTCAGCCCTCTCACCACTAGCAATATACAAATCAACCTCATTTACTCCTTTTGCTTCTTCAGCCATCTCCATAATCTCAGCATCTTTGCTTTTGTAGATCGATCTTGCCACTGAAATATATTCACTCTTTAGTTTATACAAAACCTGCTCTGCCTTATTTTCAATTTCTCTTTCTTTGATGAAATCCTCAAAAATTGACCAAGTAAAAAGATCTGGATCAATTAACACATCACATACAATAAAGAGAATTTATTCTCTCTATATGACATTAAACCCCCATGCGAAATGTGCATCTTCAAAACATCATCTCTGTTACTGTAAAAGTGAGAACAACATCACTGTAAAATAGATATATAGAGAGAGATAGAAACAAGAGAGAGAGAGAGAGAGAGAGAGAGAGAGAGAGAGAGAGAGAGAGAGAGAGAGAGAGTCGCACCTCATCTTCTCCAAAAAGCCTTAACACACTGATTAGGAGAAATTTAGATTCTTAATACTTCTATGGTTCAGTCCGAACTTATTCTCGATTACAACAGCAATAAATCTTTCGATGAAGATGGATTTAACGATTCTGAGATGTAATGAATTGGGATTTTAGAGTTCTACTCAATTTGGGGATTTTTATGATACTGGTCAAATTAATTGAGTTTAGTCGGATTAGTTTGTGTGTAGTTAAGTTTTAACCAAGGTTAGTTTTTAAACAGAATTTAAACACAGTATAGAGTGCTGTTAACGTCCGTTTTGTTGATATACGATCAATACTTTGTGTATTAAAATGGAAAAGAAAAATAATTAGCGTATTTTTTGGGTATTAAAATAGTTTATGTATTAAAATGGTAATAGAAATTAACTTGGTGTATTAATATGGAATTTTTCCTAAAACTTATATCAAATATTAATTTTGTTACCATATTCACAATGTACGGTTAAAATAACAAAGATACGGATCCTAAATTTTTAACTAAACCATAAACTATGATTCATATATAATTGTGTTTATTCTAAAAATTATATTCGTATACTCTAAACTTTAAACTTCAAACCCTAACCCTTTTGAACTTTATACTTATAAAACTTACAAATTAATTTATTTTAATAAATTTTATTTTATAAAAATGACAGTTGTCTATGTTTTTATTATGTGCATAATTGTTTTGTAATTGTAATAATTAAAATTTTAAAAATAATTATGGAGTAGATTTCTTTGGCAGTCTACACCAATATACTTCTTTAGCAGTATATAATAGTAGACTTTGTAAGCAGACGTTCCAAAGATAAACCAGTAATTATGACAGATGTTTTTTGTTTCGTCATAAAAGACTGATTTGTAATTTCAGTATCTCTTTGGGTTATTTTTGTCAAACATGCTATAAAGAGTTTAGACTTCATTCATAGGGTTTAGACTTCATTCATATGCTAAAGTTGAATTTTCCTAAACCCTATACAGAATTTAAACACTGTATAAAGTGCTGTTAACGTCCGTTTTGTTTGCTTTATAAAGTGGATATACGATCAATACATTTAGGAAAATTCAACTTTTAGGTTGTTTTCTGCAATTCCCCTTATGTTAACATGAATAAAGTTTTATATTTTATTGATTTTGCAGAGAAGAAGAGAACTAGCAAAAAACGGATGAGAGAGAGAGAAAAAGAGAAAGAGGCTATAACCCACGCACATCACAAGACATATTTTGTAATTTTTTTTTCTCAGTGGGTATGTTTTAACTAGTTTTTTGTAGCCTATTTTTAATTTATTTATCTGTTAATTATGTATTGGAAACTTTGTCATCTACCTTTTTATCTTTAATTTATTTAACTTTAATTGTTGTGTCACAGAAGTTTTATTTTCTTTTCTCTTGTCTAATAAAACGAGATAATGCGTTAATGCAGTTGAAGTTAGAATATCTTAGAAACCAGAATATTTCATTACCTCTTAAACTACATATAGTACTCGAGAACTCGTTAGATTCAAGTTTAATGACGCACAATTTATAACATTACTATTACATAAGAATCTAATAGAGCAAAAGAGAACAAAGCAAGAACCATTGATTCCTTAATGCATCATCTGATTCTCATCACCCCTCAAGTTGATCCTCTGCATTGATTTTTGAAGACAATTTGTTTTTTAGTTTTGGAGACGAGGCAGCAGAAACAAGCCTTCAAATTGCGTTAGTTTTTGAATTCGACGACTCTTGTATCGGTGACTTTCCAGACTTCTAACTAGCAGATGAAGATGATCCATGTCTTGCGTGTTTAACAGAGAAAGAAAGAGAGCCATCAATTATATATTCAGATTCCAGATATAAATAGATCAGAGAATGCTTGCAGAGCTGTTTTCGATAATAAGGAACAACAAACTTTGGAAATTTGGTCTCTCTCTCTCTCTTTTCATAAATTTTGGGAACTTGCTACACCAAAGAAGCCGATTTTTGGTGATGGAACACGGAGACCTGATGGTTTCGTGGAAGTAGGAGGAACCAAACTACCATTGCATTTGCATCCATGACTTTTTATTCTAATGTTTTCCTGCAAAATAACACAAGACTAACCACATGCATTGCTTAATATAATGTTGCTTGCCTCTTTGAGAACAAAATGCTCTTCGCTCCTAAATACAGAGAAAAAGAGAGCTAGAAAACAAAAACAAGAATCTTGTGTTTCTTCTTAACTTTCCTCTTCCTCTTCCTTCTCTCTTTGTTCATCTTTAAAATGCTTTCACCTTCGAAAAAGAATCTTCCTCCGGGACCTACATGTCTTCCAATCTTAGGAAACTTGCACCAGTTTGGAAAATTTCTTCACTAATCTCTCCTTGATTAGAACATGGATTGGGCATGCTTTTCCACATTGAAGTCGTTCCTGTGGTCGTGTTCTCCTCCTTGGAAACAGCTAACGAAGTTCCCAAGACTTATGATCTAGAGACTTGTTGTAACGCCTCTACTGCCCCTACCGGTACACCCACGTCCTCTTTCGGGCTGGTGGGCTCCATCCCTGTCTGACGCCCGGTGCCTTATATTGTACGAATGCCCGACCGATTCATTTACTAATCCTACAATCATCATATAACGTTTCCCTATGTTTTAGCCTCACTTACATGGTTCCGCAGAATACTTTTCGGAAGATTACCCATCCTATTCATATTTCAGATAAAGCAGGCTACCAGTGACCAAAAAGATAAGTGCACTTTGGTGATATAGGTAGCCAAATCAATTTATTTAAACTTATTCAAATGGACCAGACCCGGATCGTTATAACTCTCCCCTACTAAACGGAAATTCATTCCCGAATTGAACGGTGTGAGCCCTAATCTCAAACCCTAAGACAGTTTCCTGGTTCTGACTTCTAAGGCTCTGATACCACTTGTAACTCTCCAACCACCTCTACCGGTGAGCACACTCATGTCCTCTCCCTATCCATGTTCGACGGCCAGTGCGTTATTTTTTCTGGAAGTCCGACCGACTTATTTATTGACCTTGCAATCACCACGTGACCTTTCTCCGTGTTTTGATCTCACTCACATAGTTTCGCAGAATACTTCCCGGAAGATCATCCATCCTAATCGTATTTTAAGTCTACTACGCTTAATTTTAGAGTTCTCTCAAAATCAATGACCGAAATAATAAATACATTTTGATAACATAGATAATCAAATTAATTCATTTAAATTTATTCAAATGTGTTGGGTCCGAATACCGACCTAAGTTTGTGGCGACCAGGTTGTTTACTTATAACTTCAAAGACATTGGTTTCACTCTGTATGAGGACTGGCGAGAGATGAAAAAGCTTGTTGGGCTGGAGCTCTTTACCCCCAAAAAAGCAAAAGCTTGTTGGGCTCGAGCTCTTTAGCCCAAAAAGTAAGAAACTTACTGGTCAAGAAATTATCAAAATCTGCTCAAACAGAAACTCTAGTGGATTTGGGGAAAATCATATTCTCTTCTTTACCGCTGCTATCATTATATAGAATCTCCTTTGGAGACAATGTCCGTGAGTGCGGTTTCATCAATATTAATATGAAAACGCTTAAAAATTTTACACTAAAAAGGTAGATAGATGCTGTATCCTAAAACTCCATATTCTCAAATGATTAAAAAAACTCGTGTAAAAGATAGCCGTGTAACTAAAAACCTTAAGATCATAATGTCTTAAGATCCAAAGTTATCTTACAATGACAACTCACTTTTCGATGGTGAATGGCGTTACAAATGATAGTAAAAATCACTTGATCAATCGGTTTATTGCTTGGATGAATATATCAAGTAATCGGAAATGTTGATAAAGAACAAATGAGAATCACTCTCAAAAGTAAGAAAAAGGTTTTTGATTAAAAATTAGTTATTTTCTTAAATGAGATTACATAAATATTTAAAAGCAAGAAAATGTTTTTCAAGATAAAGTTATTGTAAAAAACGAAAAGAAATAAACCTAAAAATTGAATAGCTCTTAAACTTTAAATGTAACTCTTGAATTTTATTTTCATCACATTTTTTTCACCATAAAATAAAGTTATTATTTTGGGCTTGCTTGTACTTCTATTAGATTCATAATGGTCTGGATTTGATACCTATCTTTTCCAAACGAATTATGCATACTTTTCTTATCCAAAACTTCACAAATAAGTCCACAAAGTGCATTCCTTAACTTCTAAACTCTTGCCCGAGTCATCGGTCCTTTCGGTACATACATAACATCCTCAGGTTCAAGCACAGGTTCCACTTGATCCTTCTTGTTGCTTTCCATGATCACATCATGCCCCTCTTCTTGAAAAAGATTTTATCTCAAATCCAGTTCATCTGCAGCAAAAGGAACAAAGTCAGAACCATTACAGCTTGGACTCACATTGTATTTATATTGCAAGTCAATCTGATAGACATTGACACATTGTTACTGGTTTTCTTCAAGACTTTGAATGGGCCATCGATCCTTGGCATGATTTTAGACCTTCTTTCAGCTAGAAAACGTTCCTTTCTCAAGTGCACTCAAACAAGAACTCCAAATTCAAAGACCACTTTGGGCCTGTTTTTGTTTGCTTGCTTACTTCTGATATTACTTTGTCCTTGCTTCAATGTTGAGTTGTGCCATCTCATGAATCAGCTAGAAGCAAGGGTTTTTGAAGCCCTTGTTAAGTTCAAAGTAATCTTAATCACCAAATCAGTTGTAGTATAGGGACTTATGTTTTAAACACACTTGTGGATATTGAGAAACAAACAATGCTGTGAGCTAAGCAAGGTTGGGGATTTTGATTATGATATAGTAACTCTAGCAACCTAGCAATGCAATAAAAAAGAGAGCAGAAATTAAATGCAAATAAACAAAGACTAAGCAATGAAACCAAAGCAAGAACTAAGCAAGAACTAGACAAGAACTAAATGAAAGACAACTTAAACAGTACTAAGAAAGATGGTTTTAAGACAACTGATAAAAAGCAAGATCTAAGATTCTAAGCAATAATGGGACTAGTGGCTTTCAGGCAAGGCAAACATCAAGCACTCAAAGGCAAGCAATTCTCAATGTTGTAATCCTAAGCAAGGTATTTAAAAGGAATCAACTTGGCGTCAATAAGCAATTCATATTCAATAAGATTGAAGTGTCAAACCCACTTGTAATGGTGTATTCTTCAACCATGAGCATAAAGAACAGAACCATT